ATATTTATTTCAWTRACGATGTATTTTTATCATTTGCTTTTAATGTTTTTCAATTTTTAGGCAATATTGTCACCATGTGGTGAGTAAAGTATGGCTCGCATCGTGAAATTGATTTCTAGCAATATGTGCTCTGCTACTTAAGCACGGCCGTATGAAATCGAAATTAATTTCATATTAATAGGTAGGTAGGTGTTAGGTGACTAAATACTATATAAWYMTWKCATTATATTCCATGTGGTCCATGTTCAGAATTTCCTTGTTGCTCAGCAAATKGCCAAGTTAAATATTTTAGTAGGCGCCTATATACTACCTAGCCATTAAATACCACATTTAATAATCACCTATAACGGCTATAACCATGATGAAGTAGGTAGTTGAATATTTTCTACTGTTTGGTATAATTTGGTAACGTGTTATCTCACAAATGGCTTACATGGAATACAACGACAGTGCAATAAAACCTTTATACGGCACAATGTGGCCTTARGGCTTAAATACAGTAACCGGTATCCTGGTTGACGAGTGTATAGGCACTGCAGAAGAATAAGCTCATCCATTAACTGGGGTAAAAAAAAAGTAACAATTGCGCTGACGGTTAATCAAAACCAAACTGAAAACATTATATTTATTTTATTGATTGTAACGTCTTGCTATTGCTTCTGAGAAAAACAATACGTAAGAATACCTAGGTCGCAAATAAATTAAATTTTGGTAATACTGCGTTACCTACAAGTGGAACTATATTCGACTGTAAACGATACGGTTAGTGGAAACGCGACTACACACGTCATGAACGGTAACCGCAAACTTTTCCGTTGATCGGTGTTGAAGGAAAACGGTATATATAGCTGCCAACTGTTTTCTCCGTGTTAYCATTATACATATTATTACGGTCGGCGTAACACACTCAAAAACACGAGAAAAAACATTTCGTCAGAGTCGTTAATAATAAACCAATCAGTCTAGTCAGACGTATAAATAGTCGACCCTAATGACCGCGCGATGTATATTTTTAAAAATAATTCAATATGGATAATAACACACCGATCGCGTATATACTATATATATATATATATGCGATGAGAAGAAAACTGATCTGTAAAATATAATATATATATATATATATATATATATTATACATCTAACACCTTTATTATACTATTAATATTACATACACTACGCAACTGCAATGGTGTGTTAGCACATCACTGTTAACTGTCGGCCGCGGCGGTGGCAACTGATCGGAAGACGACTGTTCGGTCTCACTATTTACAATCCTCTCGACGATTGAATATTTCATTGATGCATCGTATATAAATAATATAATGCAATATATTATTATGGAGAAAAAAAAAATTAAATTATCGAATCGCGTGCGGCAAAGCTGCAGCATTGTATGCGCGTTTATATGCTGTACAGACCATATAATATTATACACTAGGTATACTACCATTGATTTTAAAATATACAGATATAACATATATCCTCAACTCAATGCTACTATACRAAATAGTCTACAGCTGTTGCGTAGGTATACGGTTTTGAAATTTCACAGCGCCATGCCGTCGCGGTCGCGGTCGACCGAATAATATGCATACGATAGCGTATATTATTATCTGTACAGCATAATGTATAMGCATTCATCACACGTTTCGGGGATGGACAACATACATTCATACCTAAGACAAAAATATACGTATAAAGTTGACCATGGCATGTTGATTGTTTGTCATTAATAATTATCGACACCAGATATGATATTTTTAATTTTAAATAACATCAATTTTAAAAATATTTCATCCAATATATAAAGCGGTAATATATTCAAACAGAGTTCCTAATATATAATATAATAATGTCTACGCGAAGTACAACAAAATACTTACTTGCAGATATATAGCTGTATTAAATCATAAGATATATACCTAATTTAATGATAAATTTATTCATTTTATATTTTCTGAATCACCCCTCCCCCGTATATGTAAAATCTATGTTAGGGATCACGTTAACAATAAATACCAATGTAAATGAAAATATTATACTTAATGTGGCTATATATTTTGTAACTATATATGCATGATATACTTACTGCATTTATGTTTGCAACTAAAATACGAGTAATTCATATTTATATGTATAAATTGTTAGTTATATATAATTATATCATATAGTTAATTATTTAACTATGCACTAAACCGAATGCGTTTGCTTAGGGATGGAAAAACTCAGTGCGACATAATCTGACATAATGTTTTATCAAGCTACCAAAAGGGCTTGGACGTCTTAGCAAAGGTCACTACTGGACGGTGGATCCAGCTTCACTTTCATGACGGAAAATCATGAAGTTTAAAATTAACACTTTTTTTATACTTATATGTATCTATAAAAAATGAAAAACATCGTTTTAAAATCAATACGTTCGTCACTCTGCTCAGAATCTAAAATTTGTATTTAATAGGTATAGTATCATATATTATGTTGTGTAGGTTCCTTTATGTGTTTATTTTAAATAGTCAATTTGTTACAGCTATTAATACAGAGCATAATATACATACCTACAACAGATATTACTTGAAGAAATTATTGGTGACTGAATACTAACATAATATTATGTAGYTATGTAGATTTACCTATATCTACTGCAGGGTTCAGTGGTAAATTGTGAATGTATTATTATATAAATAAATGATATGATATAAAAAGAAATTGGACATGGAAATAAATAGTAAGGGTTCATTTTTATAATTTTTATTATTTGCCTTATTCAGAYACATGATATATTATGTATAAATCCATAGTTTATATCACACTAAAAAATACAGCATGTAATTTCATGAAATAACATCATAAATACCGAATAAACAAAAATAAGTCTTTAAAGGATACATTATTTCTAGTCAAATGGTGTTATATAAGGTTTTAGGGAGATGTGTATAATATCAGCTATAATGCATACCTAGATCATAGTTGCAACGTATAGTATAGATCAATTTATAATAACCTATTTTCACCCAATATCTACTTTAACATTGTATTTTAGGAATGTATTTGTATTTAGAAGTCAATTGCATTGTAAGTCAAACAGAATTCTGACCGTATTTCCAATTCCCTGCAAACAAACAACACATAATATGATATTACGTAAATATACTTATACTTGTAAACTGTTGACTTTAATATATTAAATTCATTAATAAGTACATATTATTATATAATCTTATACATGCTTTGTATTGATTGATTATTTAATCTCAAAATTAATAAATTTAACTGTATATATATGTATATATATGTATATATATGTATGTATACATACTTATATACTTATACGTTACGGACAATGTACATTGTTCACACTGTCTAGTAAAATTGAACTAGAAATACAAATCAACTATTTTTTGAGTGATATTTTTCACAAAATTTATCATTACTACCCAATAATTATATTAATTTGATAGAAGAAATAAAAAATAATTTAATTATTAACGATTTGTTAGTGCATGTTTTACTAGAATATATGTGGTACTTAAAATTATAAGCTCTGTTTGCTTTCTTACACTTATATTTATTTGTTTTACAATGCTGCGTACAAGTTCATCGATCATCCGACTGTCCTACCATGGTATAATTTGTTGTCATATAATTGTTTTAGAATATTCAAAATAGGCTCGTACTAAATAGATAATATCATAATTAAAATTAATAAATACATTTTTTTTTTGTTCCCATATATATTGAATATCTATTATCTAAATTCTATAACTAATAAGTAATAATATAACTTTACTTGATATTATATATTACCTACTTAATATTATATTTAACATACTCGTATAAAGAGATAAAGTATGTATTTATAATTTTTAATATATTAGACTTTAAGAAGTTTCCTACCTACTTATATTTGAAGATTGAATGTTAAAACTTAAAAGAAAATAACTTGTGGCATATCGTGGATACAATAAATCCCCTTAATCTTTATACCTAGGTATATATATATATTTAATATTTACTGCGTATTATTGTTTAATTTTTTTGTATTATTAACACTTGACTCTTTTTTTTCTGAAAACTAATGAACAATAATAGAAAGATAATAATCCTTCTATTATTGACCACATTGGTGTATATGTATATTAAATTATTTATTTCATTACAAATGCTTTCTCAAATTACATGGCAATGGGTTTATATTCTGATGCTACCATTTATTTCTAGGGTAAACTAGTTATGCATTGCAGTATTTGTATACAGTGCACTAATAGCTACAAATKTGTTCCTATTTTGATATATATTTGACGTGTTAATGCGTAGTTATAGATGTATAGATTATAGACTGAATAAAATATATGGCTACCTACTACTYTCAAAGTATTGCAATTTAAATTAAAATATCATAAACACAACGATTATTTTAATCGAATAGTCGTTTGTTAAATTTTTTAWTTATTATTTTTATATACGAATTACATATGATTATAGGCTATATATTATAATACTCTTTTGAAATGAACAATGATGGACAMTTGTGCGTTCAACCGGTGTAGCCAAATCGAAATACGGATAGTTATTAGTTATAATATCATCATTACAGATTATACACATTTAAGTTTAGGTATAAATGGTACAATGTATATAATATAATACCATTAATACCTATACTTACATTTATTAATATATAATATATTATATTATGCGTTATACAATATATTACTATTATAATCACTTATTCGGTATTAAACATTTTTACGTATATATGTTATATACCTATAGTGGGTATGGCGTACGTGCGGCGTTGGCACATCGCCGAGGTGTCGGCGGCGTCGAAGGCTTCGTGTCCCTCTATAACCATTATTATTATCATTATTATTACTATTATCGTATTATCGAAGACGTTGGTGGCTACGGATTGGCCGACGACCGTCCTGCCCATTTTTTCCTCTCTGGTCCAGCCGTCGTTCCGCCCGGGGTGACAGTCCGCCCGGCCACTCCAACCGGTTGCATTGGTAATGCGTGAATTGTATACGACGGGTGTAAACAATAAACGGTCCGTATACACATTCACGGTACTCGTTCGTGTAAATATTAACTGTGTATATTATACACGCGTGCCTTAATCACATATAATAATAATTAGTTACGGTTTTATGTGTTTTTATAATTTTTAGTTTTTTAATTAATAGAAAAATTTAAGGATTTTTTGAGGAAAAAAAATTCTATTTCATATTCTTAGTAACTTTTATGATTATTGCCGTGTACGTATTATAATAAACGACGATCGCGCGAGCTCGAGCGCCATCAACATAACGGTATGGATATGTTGATCGTTAAGACCGAAGACGAAAATGACGAGAGAAAATCTCTCAACAACAGCAATAATAATAACAACAACCATAACCACAACAATAATAACAATTGTAAGAAGAACAACGGCGACGGAACAACAACGAAAACGGTGACTGCGACTGGTGGCGTCGGGACCGGTAGGTCTGAAAAACCACCCTACTCGTATATAGCCTTAATAGTCATGGCAATCCAGAGTTCACCGGTGAAAAGACTTACCCTCAGCGAAATATACTCTTTCCTCCAGCACAGATTCCCTTTCTTCAGAGGTTCCTATCAGGTAAATACACACATAATGGAATAATAATACAATAATAGTATATAACAGTATAGGTGGGTCTTATTCTTATATATTATTATATGAGTATTATATGACGCACGTAAATATAGGTGCACTATAAGTAGCGATATAAGTAGATAACTATAATTAAAATATAATGTTCAATCGATTTTTTTTTTGGAAAACTATAAAGTATTCAATATAAAACATTAAGCCCTAACTATAGTTACACAAWTAATTTATAATTTAAATAATCTTTGTAACTTAGCTAAGTTGAATTTAATGAGTAAAATAATCTGATCTAACTCGTTAAAAGTAATAAGTAACTATAGTTTTTTATGTAGTTTTTTTATATATTATCCTAAAAATCAGATGTTCCGTAAAACTGTTGAGTATTATAATATTTCCAAGTATTTATATAGACTACAGCTATTATCATAATTTATTAATAATAAATATTGGTTATTTTCAATTTTTTGTTAAAAATATTTTTCTCATTAATTATTTATATTAGTTATATCTTATATAATACCTACATTTATTTCTTGTAATACACACGTTAATCACGATGCGCCTATTATACGAATATGCGGGCATCAAACTATTGTAATAMTGTGTTCTAATGATTTATATTCCAATTCGTTTCTAAAAAAATAAAAGTTATTATATTACTTAGGTACCTACTTAAAAGTGTATGTTTATTTATGTTTATTTATGTACCTTTTTTAACATATTTTGAACAAAGGGGTATAAATTTATATTTTAAGCTATAAAAAAATCTAACTTTTAACTTCTACTCTAATTTAATCTCCTATTTTTATCAAACTAACTTCTATAACTAACTAAGCCAGAAATTTGGAAAATGTCAGAAATTAAATTATATTCCAACTTAGTTGGTTTTTATATTAAAGTAACTTCATAACTAGCTAACTAACTAACTTGCTCAACTTTGTAGATACTATTATGTATAGTATATATTATACCTATAATATTTGTTTTTTAATAAAAATTGTTGTCTCTCTCAGCTTAGAAGTATAAGCTTTATACTATGTAGTACATGTACATGGTAAAGTAGATATGTATTTAGGTTAGTTTAATTTTTTTCATAGTTGTTCAAAACATATTATGCAAATTATTTAATCTGTCTACGTGTATAACATAATAATATTATTGACTAAAGTATTAAATAAATGTATATAATATTATTAGCTATCTATATATATAACGATCAATAAATTATAATATATTACGATGTATGTAATATTTGTTAATTTATTTTAAACCGTATTTATTTTAGGCTATTTTACAGTAAATACTATTATTAGTATAGTAATATAAATAATTAATACCTAAATCCCTTAATAAATTATTTCAGCAATTGTTTATGCTACTGTAAACTCAGTCGTTATTTTCTTTACCTTGCATACTAGTAGTTATAATCTAAACTAGCARATAGAAGATAACAAATTAAGAAATATTTATGAAATAAAAAACTATTAATTGAAATTAATATTGTTAAAAACATGAATTTATATTTATTTTTGCTTAAAAAAATTATTCAGATACATATTTTAAACTGATTTATGAAGATAATCTTTAAAGAGCTTTTGACAAATAATATTTAACCTAGGTCTATAACTTTATCCTAAAATTTTTTCTTGGTCAAGTTAATTTATTATTTGTTAATTATGCCTGAAATTTTCAATGTCGTATATATACTCGTATTTTTATGTTTTTAGAAGAGGTTCTCTGTTCTAGATTTACCCTACCTAACTATARCCAATAGGATACGATACTGGTGTTTTCAAAAAACTAAATGTAATTTTTTTTTTWATTTTAAATTTAATCAATAATCACAAATCTATAGTTACAACCTTTAATGTCCTGCTTGACACGTTTTTGTTTACTTCAGTATTATAGAGCTGGCTATTATGTCTGTATGATATATATTATATATATATTTCAATAAAAATTACACCTGCAGTGTATATTTAATTATTGATTAAATATAATGAATAACACAATCGTTAAATAGCTATAACAATGCTTAAAAATTCATAGTTTTCATTGGAATAATTTTTTGTATAAAAAACAAAATAAAAAAACGTTCATATTAAAGCGTTAGAAAATGTTAAGTGCAATATATATATATTTATATATTATATAATATACAATATATTACATTCAAATCCAAATACAAAATTACGGGAAATAATTATGATCAATTCTATACATAGTAAATACTACAGTTAAAAATATTTCATTATTTGTAGGTACTTGTATAATAATTATTAATAAGGTATATTACATTATAACCTAATAACGATRTTTATGTATATTGATAAATATTAAACTCGTTTGGGTCACTTTGGGATAATTCAATTCAACAGGCAAATATTTATTCAGGATAAAATAATGACGACTAATATGATATTATTTGTATATTTGTTATTTATTTTTAGTTAAACTACCTAAATATATATATATATTTTTTAATTTGCCTTTTATTAAAAAATAATTATAGCAAAGCAATTATAAAATAATTATGTATCAAAAAAGCAAACAGACAAAAAAATTAACAGACAATGAAATTAAATATTAGCATTAAATGAGGAAGCCAGCGGTATGAATGAATTGGATAAGACTATATACTTAAAACTATATACTTTTTTTATGTGATTGATACTTATATTAAAATTATAATGTAATGTACTGCACAATGCTATTTATTTAGCCTATCAAAAATTCAAAATGGCGTTATAAGTAAAGTAAACATATATGAACATTACTCCTTAATTAATTGCCTCCTTTAAAGAATAGATAACTATTGCCTATATTTGAATTTGATWAGTCAATAAGACTTATAGCTCTAGCTGTAGTGATCATTATAACGACTAATGACCCATTCTTATATAACCTAAATTATAATCAGAAATACTGATGAAAAAAAATTAATAAGCACATTACCAAGTACAAATTGTATTATTATAATTTATAATTATGGATTATCAGTTATCACATAGATTACTCATAATTAAATTTATAATATTATAGTTGATTCTTTATAATAGCAGTAGTCAGATATGGAGGTGGCTAAAAGTAAACATACATGCCCCAGGTGACATTTTTTTTTATAACCAACCCTGTGTTCATGATTTTAAAATATTTATCTATAGTATCATAAATAAATTTAATAGGTAGCTAGCTCAAAATCTCACCAAATACTTTATAATTTTATTATAACTCATTACTTTATGTTTTAAATACTAAAAATGTAAAAAAAAAACTACTTTATTTTTCATTGTCAAACTGCTAGGTATCAAAAATAAACATTAGTTTTTTGATTGATAATTCTTGTAAAATAGGTGTAATTCAGTTTTTAYATAATAATATTCGTATTTGTACAACATTCATCGTTTTACATTTTCAAGACTCGAAAGTAAATATGAATTCAACATCATTTGTCCTGTACCGAAGTTCTGTAATGTGCATAGTTAAAATTTTACTTAATGAAATTACATTAAATAATAAAAAATTAAAATATTATAACTTTCATAGAAACTAACTCTATTATGATTTTGAAAATAATTAATATTAATATGCGATCAAACGAAATAAAAATAATAATTTATGGTGACCGWAAAATCGATACAAAATTCCAACATTGATTGTTACTTTTTTAACGCAAGGTTCATATCTATTTGAAAACACGACAATACAATTTAATTATAATATGAATGTTTAAACTTGCGTCTGGTCTGCTGTTGTTCTGTACTTGCGTGTTATATAGCCATTTATAGTAAAATTATCAATGGCTGTACCTAAAACTTAGAAGTATCCTACCGGTTGTTGCGTTACTATAGCAGCATAATACTTTTTTTCGGAACGGTGCAGGTATCGTACTGTGTTGTATATTGTTACAGTAACAGTAGTTATACTAATTAACTGCCGTATAGAAATGCTCTAAAGTTTTCTATCATAAATAGCAATTAAATAGATCGACTATTTACATTTTACTACTTTGCATGCTACTCTTTACAAGCATTTATAGTTTACAATTTTTAATTTCTTTTTCTATTAATTTTTACTATAATTAAATGAATAAGATTCATTTAAAATTTAAAAAATGTATACACAATTAATAATTATATTATATCCTMACAAAATGCTAAAATTATGTAACTTCTAAATGGTTTCGTTCTTGTAGGCCACTTATCAGTTACACTTCAGAGTYTTTTACTCACCGGTCACTAGAAGTTAAAGATTTTATTTTTTTAACTGAAAAAAGTACAACGTTTAAAAAAGTAACTGTTTCAACCAATTATTTTAATATACCCCACCTAATCCAAACCAATCATAATATGAATAATTTGTATGATGTTATTATCTCAAAAAGCCAAATTTTYGACTTGTGTCATTATAGTCGCCGGGGTGCGATATGGAGAAAAACTCTGAACGTTATACAATAGTTTTCATTATAATACACCTAGCTATTATTTGTTTGAGTATATATAAACTTGTATATCTAAGTCTTTTTTATGTTTAAAAAAATAAGTAAATTAATAAACATAACTCTGCTGACCTGTAAATTCTCCGTACTTGTTGTAAACATTTTGGCCTAAATGTCTTCCGTATCTGAAACGGTACATTATACCGTCATATGGATTACCGAAAATTCCACATGGTGACCCACTTAGAATTTATAAGCCCATCCCAAAACCATGCACATTAAAAATTACAACAATTTTATAATTATATTTAATTATTTTACAATAAATTATAAGTTGTAATTTAATGATAAATTTATTTATTTTTTATTTTCTGAATTATCCCTCCCCCGTATWTGTACCATAAGATCTATTGTGATGGGGATCACGTTAACAATAAATACCAACGCAAGTGAAAATATTATACTTAATGTGGYTATACATTTTGTAACTATGTGTGATATACTTACTGTATTTATGTTTACAACTAAAATACGAGTAATTCATATTTATATGTATAAATTGTAGTATGTATGTGTAAATTGTTTATAATTATATCATAGTAATCTATTTATAACTATGCACTAAACCGAATGCGTTTGGCTTAGGGATGGAAAAACTCAGTGCGACATAATCTGTCGTTAAACGAATGTTTCATCAAGCTACCGAAAGGGCTTGGACGTCCTGGCAAAGGTCACTACTGGACGGTGGATCCAGCGTCGGAGTTAATGTTTGAGGAGAGCTCGTTCAGGCGAAGACCTCGGGGATTCCGTCGCAAGTGCCAACAGAAGACTGTTGGACCGATCGGCGGAGTCGGTAATGGTTATCAAACGTCACAGTACCACCAGCACCTCCACCACCATCACCATCACCAAAACCTRCAGTTGCAGCAACAGCAACAGCATCACCATCATCCGTCCGTCCAACAGCAGCAACCGCAGTCGTTGCCACAGACACAGCCATCGACGGTTCTGCCACCTCCACAGCCTCCACAGCAGCAGCAACAGCAAACAGTTGCCACTCAACCACATGCGCAACAATCGCAACCACAGTCACAGGCGGCTGCGTGTTACCTCCACGACCAGTACGATTACAAGGAGGCCACGGCTGCGATGGTCGCGGGATACCATCACCAGCARCAACAGCAACAGGACTACAGTAATGGTGCGGGCGGTGGAGGAATTGGCGTCAGCAGCAGTGGAGGGTACTGCAGCAGGAACGACCAGTTGGACCATTTTGCGGCCAGTTTTTGGCAGAGCCAAAAGTCTGATGGTTACGCAGGAGGCGCAGGTGGTTACCAAGAACAGTTTGATTACGGTTGCCAGTATAACTTGACACACGACAACGGTGAGTACCACCTACCTATTTTTTTTCTACAAGTAAAACCCATTTTTTATCTATAAATATCATCATATATATTATTTAGTCATCCCTATGTGGCTATATTATGTGTATATTGTACAATTTGAACGAGTGCAATCGAATATTTTAAAGAGATTGTTGAAGTTGAATCGGCCTTTTTGTATTTTAATAATTGTGTGAATAGTTGGGAGGAGAGTACGGCAAAAAGTATGTGAGAACGTTTGTCATGTTTTGCGGTGAGTGGTGACTATGAAGTGTTTGACCACTCATGACGTGTAGGTGAAGAGTCAAGAGGCAATAATGATTCAATTACAAGTATAGACGATATTATACCTGCAGTTTGTGTCAAAACAAGAATTTATGTATCAAGCGTTCTGGTGACCTCGATCTTTAGTTTTATCCTACAAATTATGTTTGGTCGCATTTCACACTATACATTTTATGTCAACGATGATATTGAAAAAAATATCCATATCCATATGATTATATAATATATTATACCCTTTACGAGATATTCAAGCGTGCTATAGTCTACGTCTACTATAAGAATATGTGATTACCTATCAGGTACAACACAATATTATAGAATTTATCTCTGACGTTTTTATGAATCAATAATTGTTTCCATAAATTTAAACTTACTGATAAATTAAAAGAAATTAAATGTCTAACTAATTAAAATAATTAAATGAATAATAATAATATAATATAATCCATAATATATTACTATTACTTTTAAAATGCTACATACAACTTAACAGTAATTTTATTCTTGCCGTAACCAAACTTTTTGTTTCGCTTTTTAATGCGAGTTACGTGAAACGTGAATGATTTATTTGAGAATATTAATTATTAGCCCTGTTGTAAATTATCTGTGTTTTTCGTAACATTACAACTGCTGTATGTCTGTACATAATAAAATACGATAGCTAAATCATTAACTAATAAATCATAATATTATTATATTAAATATTCGATATTTTAGTTCTAAAACTGTGGTGTCATTTCATAAATCAGATAAATCAAATAATTCAGCAATTCCAATGTAATTTATGTATAGGTATAAAAGTATAATATACCGTAGGTGCCTACCTAACCGATTAATTTAAATTGACTGTATTAAATATTAATAAATTACACATTTTTTATATTTAAATACATTAGAATATTTGTGACCAAAGTATATAAAAAGTATCTGTAATGTAAATTACATATTTTATAGGGTATTACTAATGTATAAATCAATCGAATAGTTCACCTATTTTTACAATGTATACATATTTATTTTTTTTTTTTTGCATACAATGTATGGAAAATAAATTATATATGTCGAGCGTATACGTCTTAAAGGCGTAGCTGGGACGTAATTAAGGGGGATGAGGGGATAGATCCCCAGAACCTTTTAGTGTATTATGTATTTCCAGCTATACCATTCACTGCAGCTGTACTTGAAATAGTAGTATTTTGTGTATAATCATTAAAAGTCTATACTCCGCAGGACAAATGCCTAATTATGACGCAGAGGTGTAGTCGTRTAAGCAAATACAATAGAAGCAAACAACTGAATACACATACCTGCAGGGATCCCTTTTCATTACTCAAAACAATAAATTATAACAATCTTTCTTTTCTCTGATATTAAATTATTATTCAAAAAAACAATTTATTTTTATTTTTTATTTTATACGAATATAATAATTTACCCCATTAAGCAGATCTTGTGTCGAGGTAAATCATTTGTCAAAATACAATAAAACCTATATAATTTATTAAAAACCATAAACTAACTAATATCACGCCTTGAACTATTATAAGTGTTGATAATCTGTAAAAATAGTTTACAGCAAAATACAAAACGGTTGAGATAAGTTCATTCATTTAAACGTAGTGAAAAATCATTGAAAAACGATTTTGAATTTGTTTTATCCAGAAATGGGTAATACTGTTTTGTTAAAAATTGAAGTATGTACCTACGCTGATTAACAAATTTTACAAACTTTAAGATTTTCTGATAAAAAAAAAACAGGTAATTTTAAAATGAACCCTCTAAGGAGTCTAAGGTATTGATGTATCTAACTCTATAAGTATGTTAAATTATCTACAAAGAAACTTTTTCTACATTAAGCTTTAAGAAATTTTCCATCGGATGTCAAAAATATAGAAACAATTTAATCATAGCAGGACGTATATATTTTATACATGGGTTTTCAGCCTTGTTGCATGTAAGGGAGCTGTGCATCAAGTTTCAAAAGAAAAAATATTTTTGATAAAGATACTAATGTTTTTCTAACACTTCAAAGGCTCAAAACTAAAAACTTTGGACATAAATAATAATATAGTAAACAATAAACATTATTATTATATATTATTCTACAATCATTTGCTGGAATTAACGAAATTAACGAAATTATATTTTACTTGACATCCTTTCAGCCTTTACCAAAAAGTTACAAAAATTTAACCTTAAATTCTAAATACGCCCAACTGCCCATGAATAATAACAATGATATTAATTTCCGCCGTTATATAGATACCGTTGATGCACACGCACTAAATAGCCTAATGGTTATTACGAGCTGCTAACACAATAATCCTCACTAGCCGTATGCACCGTGGTCAAATTATAATATTATAGTCATACTATTTTAATACTTGTGATATCGAAACCAAGTGGCACGGGTACTTCGAATATTAATTATCGTTATTGTTATTACCACGCAGAAAACTACGCTTCGAGCGGACACAAACCAAACRCAGTAAAGCAATAATATTATAAGTCAATCGTGAATTAAAATAATTAAATCTCCACGTTCATATTGTAGTTATCATCGTCGTTTTATTACGCTTACCTATTACACTCTTAAAATTTAAAACAATAGTGATCGTTTTATCGGAATTTTCGAACCTATTTATAACTCTACAGTCCACGAGTAATAGATATTTTATAGTCRACATATAGTATAGATATACTTTCAGGACGAAAATTTTTTTTTMGAATCTTTTGTTTAAAAGTAGTACAGCTAACTAATTTCCTTCTCACTTTTTTCCTTTTTAAACAAATCATTATTATTGCTGTTTGTTAGAGTAATAAATAACAGTATCAATGTGGTTTTTGTCGATTCGGATTTACTAAATACTCGTTATTACTTGAATTTTAAACATGACGTACACACACACACACACACACACACACACATATTTACATATATTATATATTATAGAACGACGATTTTAAAAAGTGAAACAAACGCGATCTTTGTGTGCATATAGTTTATATCGTACGACATGGCATTTTTAGTTGTTTACGAACAGTGTTTAGGTCGCGAGCACGCATCATTTAAATGCGTTTCGTTGTGCATTCATAAAAAATAAACCCCCGTGGACCAATTTTATATCACATGTTGGCAATAAACAGCGTGTTGTGACTGAGAAACAGTGTACTATAAAAAGAAAACCTCGTTGTATTATTTTAATAATATAATATATAACATAAATGGGTCAAACCATGTTTTTTATGCATATTTATTTAATATTTTTTATTCTGACCTACATATTATTATGAACGATACGATCCCTTTGACCTCCACGTATTCAGACGACCGCAACGTCTAATTGTGTGGGACACCCCCTCGGGTGAGCACTGCACTGTGGTCATGTGTGGTATAGTGTATAACAGTCACCATTATATATATATATATATATCTCACCATAATATTTAATGTCTATATACATTATTATACATACGCGGTATCACTGCATAGAGCGAGAGTCGAGAGTATATAATAATAATAATAATATAATGTGCAGAGCTGGGTGCAAGATGACGACGAGTGTTCTGCACCGTGCAGTCACATTATATACATATATAGGTATTTAATTATTTTCGTATGCAAGGTCAAGAGGTTCCGTCACCGATCGCGTAGGTCCTCCGAAACGCACGTGGCCTTGTCAAAATATATGTACATATATGCATAATATATAATTTAAAACAAAACCACTTGTTGACTGTGAAATACGATGACATATTTTTTCCTTCTTAGTTAAACGTGTCGATTTCGCCACACATTGGCTAAAAGTCAAAAAGGTACACAAGTGGCCAAGTGGGTGTGAAAAATGTATACGCTCGCAGACGCCAGCCATTATAATATCATATTTTTAGTCGTCTAGCGTCTGACATCGACGACAACGTTTATCTGTTATTTATTGAACATCCATTAATTTTATTATTGATTTTTTCTTCATCAATTCGTTTCAGGTTATAGCACGGTTGCGAGAAGATCTGCGACTGCGGCCGGACAAACACAACATAACGTCATGGACAACCCTATGAACGCCAGTAATGGATTATCACAACAYATAAGTCTCCACCATTATTATGACTGCCCCAAGTTTTGCTGAACTATCGTCTTTTATATAAGTATATTGTACATGACACATACAGGATTTTCATATTTCGAAAAAGCGTTTAATAACACTGCAGTAACACAATAAAAATCGTAGAAATTTCAAAAATAATATTCCATTCAAATCGATTATAATTTTCTWTTGTATGTATGAATATAAAATAAGATATATGTTGTCTAAATGTATTTTTGATATTATATCACGAAATGTATATAACGCGTGTATAAACATTAAAATGGATGGATAGCCAAATCGGTATATTGAAGCATTACGTTATCACGTGATTCTTTTCAATATATCTTTCAATTTAAGTTTTAACGAATAATAGCTGAATATGTTATCTTTAATTCGAACAATTAACTGGCTTCAGTGCATGCAGCAGTGAGCTGTGAGTACAGTATACATATTACATGAGTAGTGAAATAATATTTTACATCCATGTATGAAATAGTTTTTTTTTTTTTAACTTTTAAAGCAACAAACATATTGCTTGGCTTATCATAAAAAAAAACTTTTTGTTTTTATGAATTAAACGATCCACATTAATGAAATAAGCTACCAGCAGATATAAAAAATTGAATTAATTATAAACACCTGCTTAACAAATTTTAATTTAATATTAAATTATCTATACAAAATAAATATTTCATAGTGTTATCTATACCTCATACAATTTTATTTTTTAAGTTTAAAGTGTGATGTATATCATTTATTCAAAAATGAATACATTTTTTCAACATTTTGTAAATTATTTAATTGACCAACCATCAGTTGTGTGAATACGAATATCGAACATTTCTAGTCTCCGTATAATATTAATATACCCATTGATAAAACGTAAATGTTCGATATTTTGTATTGATTAAAAGGCTGAAAATAGTATATTTAAATCAATATTTATGTATATATTATATATTATACGTTTATGTAAATAGATATAAAATTATTTTGAATACTATTAAAACCGTTTTGTTTAAAAATAAAACACAACGCACAAAAATCATATGTTTTAGTATGTGTATACATTATATTATATACCTAATTTTGATGTTCTTTTCATATAGGTATAAATACAAAATAGATGAGATGACTCGGTATGATTGGTAGGTACTCACCGTGTGTCTGTGTAGACATCATAAATAGCATTTTGAAAGTGTTTTTTCTTTTTTAGCGAAAAATCTCGTAACGCATTTATCACTATACGTGAACATAAAGGAAGCACGTTGTAAATGGTTGGGAGGTGGAAATTAAAAAAAAAGGTTAAAATGTGCAAGACGGTAAACGTGGTAGGTATATATTATATTCAATAATCGTAGATCATCAAACGGACCACCCGGACCAATATGTGTGGTACTCAAACATACACATTACACGCACACTTATACGATATAATATATACATGATATATTATATTATTATACATTACCATGTCATGCGGACTTTTGAAATACACAAAAAATCGTTTTATTTTCATTTTTTTGTCAGAAACGCCGATTTGGCTGAACATGTGTTAACGCAAGTGTTGTATGTGTTTTCCCGCGCACGTCTCGTGTTTAATAGTTTACAACACTCTTCCACTCCCCATGCGCGCGCGTGTATGTATGTGTGAGTGTGTGTATGTGTGTGTATGTATGTGTGTGTGTGTGAGTGAGTGTGTGTGTGTGCGCGCGCTAACGCGTACCTACACCGAACTTCTAGACAATAAAACGCATCCGAAACGTAAACAGAATGTCTTCGTATAAACATGGCTCGGAGTCAAAGAATTCGTACCAATTTTGTATCCTTTAATTTTATATAAAAAAAAAATACAAATAAAAATGWAAATCGACTCCGGAAGAAACAAAGAAAGCAAAAAATATATATGTATTATGAACGTTATGTACATTTTGGAATGTTATTATTTTTATTCTACGTTCAAAATATAAATATTAAATATAAATAATATACAATATAATTATATAATTTAAAAATATAGATTCTACATCGATGGTAGTGGTGAAGCGGACTTCCTTTTATAGATGCTGACAATACTGACAATAGTAAGTACCCAGTATTGCAGACAAGGACTCATCGATTCTGCTAGTTATCAGTACACTGCGCAGGTATAGTTATAAAACAATCTTCATACATACAAATGTTCAACTGCATGGGTACTTCTTAACTCATAACTGGAATGATAAATTAAAAAAAWTAGTCTATACATAGCACTTAATTACTTGGCATAAGAAATTTTTTATTTTTTTTGATCATATTGACTAATGGTCTAATATTGTTCATTTCTATGGAATATCGAACGTACAGTTGTATTTTTTTGGAAATTATAACTCAAATTGGTAAATGCAAAATAGAAGTATTCAAAACTGGAAGAATCGATTTACCTTTTCTTCCAATAGAAACATGATTGGCGAAATAGATGAAATCCCTCGGCATCATACCTACATAATTCGAAGAACGTAATAAAACATCTCACCGTAGAAGAATATAATATATGGATTGGATTTTTATTTACTGAATATGACTTATTTAATATTTAAATGCACCGAAAATATCTTAAACATCGTATGTTTTCATAAATATATAGGTATTATTTCTAGTATCTACCATTGCTCAACTTTGCAAATAAATATTTAATACAATATTATGTACATCAGCACTGTACCTATATAGTTTTCCGGATATTTCATTACAGGTTATAAATCTTATATAATAAAACGAAAGTATGGTAAATAAAAGAAAAATGCGCAATGTGCCAATATGTTTTGAAATACCTTTGCCATTAGGAGTCCGGTTTACTCAGATGGTATTGTCATATTTAATATTAATACTATTTTTAAAACAATACAAACAAATTATAGGTATGTCTTAGCCATTTTAGGGTATTTTTAGTTCTGCAGGTAGAGTACAAATTATTTATATAATATTGTTCAATTGACTCGAAATCTCGAATTAAATATCACAAATAGTTCGAAGCATGGACGAGCCTGGACGACAACAAAATTAAATGCGAAATTTATTCATAATGATTACTATTATTAAATGCAGGTAAGACTAAACAGCCACCCTATAATTTACAATAGGTAAAATACACGAATGGAGATGGATAATAACAATTATAGAGGTTCTTTAAAAAAAATGTATCTAAGATGATGTTAATTGCTCAATGGCGATTATAAATCATACGCTTTTACTTTAATTAAATACTATATTACAAGCGGGGCAAGTTAACTGAATTTTTTAACTCCTTGAGAATATTATTATATATATATATAGGTATAGATAAATATGAAAAACAACTGTAATCTATATTTTACAATTATTTTCTTATTAGTTGGAATCATAAACATATTTATAACTGCATAGYAACATATAGTGTTGTCAAAAAGCAATTTTATAACAACTACAACACTATAGTAGTATACAATGTGTACACTATAGATAGGTACAAGTAAAATTTATAGTCAAAATTAATGACATTTTTTTAAACATATAGGTAATATTTGAATGTGTTTAAAGGAATACTGCATGAACACGTAGTGTAAGTACAGTTATTGCTTAGTTTTCTACCGTGTCAAAAATATCGAACTGTTTTTACATTTCCCCATGCCAAAATAAAAAGATAAAAAAAATGTCTATAATATAATACGGTAAGAAAAATAATAATTGATACATATTYAGTAATGTAACAATTTTTACATCATTAGTAATAATTCATTACCTACTTATATTTTATAAACTTATAAACACAATATGTATATAATATCCAATAGGTACCTACCATGTATGTAACCTATGTTTATTATACGCCTTATAAATGTGACATATTGTATAAAATGCTGCTAGATATTAAGTCCCTCCTGTTTATCATGCATTTATTATAGTAAGGTTACGACAAATACGTAAAACTGTAAATGTCCATTTCTCCATGATAACCAGCATTGATACCAAAACTCCATAACAATTTCACTTGCAGTTCGTAAGTTATAAATTATAATAATGCTTTATGTAAAATAACAAGCAATAATCTTAACTGAAATTGAATCCTCGTTATATAAATATATTTAAGATTCTGATTATTATATAAACCTAACCCTAGCTACGATAATTATATCTATAGGGTCCTACGACTTTCCTTAGATATCTCATATTTAACTGGTGTCATCCCCCGAACACGTAACAGTAGTTTTGAATTATACAATAAAATATCTTATTACGATACGATTGGGAGTATTTGACATAACTCAGATAGTTATATTTAGGTCRGAGGCGTAGCGTACTMGTAAATACTGTAAGTACTGCTTACACATGAAAAAAATAAAAAATAAAAAGTTAATAATGTTATTATAAAACTGCTTAGGTATGTAGTTACGTGAGCTCATAGACACGATATGGGTATGCTCAATATCGTAGACTATTATAGAGGTCTGAACTAGAGGTATTTTATACTATTCAATTATTCGAATATTAATAGTTAATATTCATTAAATTATATAATAATCTTCTATTCTTCTACTTTACTATAATATTATGATAAAATCTCCAAAAAAATAAAATCGTTTTCTAATAATAAAGAGCTTTATTTTTTTATTCCTCGTAAACCTACATAAATCTGCATTAACATAACTATACATGTTTACACCCCATCGATACCATATTTTATTTTATTTTTTTTATTACTTTAAAGCCTCAACAACTAAGGTTATTAGCTTACATATTTTAAAATATTACTTATATATACAGGCATATTTTATTGTTTTAAAGAAACCTATACTTTACAGTCTGAGTATAATGTACACTTAATATGGTGATACGGTGATTTATTATCACCAAAATACGTGGCAAATAGCGATATATTGCAATTATAGGTATTTGTCAATGAATAATTTTTCAATTCGAATTTGTGATTTTAAAAGGCTAGACTCTGCATTTCATTCATAAATATTTTTTAATAATAGGCTATTTAAACGGTATGGTAAACAATAAAACCAATATATTTATAGTTATACAAAGTTCCCTGAGAAGATATACGAATTAGCCATAGAGGGGAACTCASCGCCCGGATAAAAACTAGTTTTTTATCGTTTTATTCATAAATTAAAAACAATTATTAAAAATCATGGGATTAATGAAAATAAAATGTTGAAAGGTCAATATTTTCAGTAAAATAAACTCTTCAAAATAGATCTTTATTTTTTTCAAGAATTAAAAATAACTTTTTTTAAACCTTTTACCAAAAAATAAAAAAAAACCAATTTTTATGATATATTTATTATCCTAGGAGATATCGCTGGGTAAATAAACCGCGGGACACCCTGAATACTAGGTATATATACTTACATTATGTTTTTTCGAATTTCTATTTCGTTTCTATCGTACCTATTCATTTCATTCATACTATCTATTACATAATAATAATGATCATACCTGTACTGGCTGYAGACTGCASTATTACTRATTCACAATATTCACGTCCCCTATAATGACGTAGTGTAACATCCTTTATAAACATTCGATCGATTTCAGCCGACGGCAAAGCTTATCGCGTTTTCTATTTGACCGATTCGTACACACTCAACACGCCCACTTTTGAGAGATGTTAGCAAAATATTTAGCCTCGATTACGCAAATTATATGTTATTAATGTTATTATAATACCTGGCTTAACATGGCCTATAAACTTGTAGTCAATAGTCGATGATTACGATTGTATATATACTACCTATTAGGTACATCGGATATCCGGATATCCCCTGCAGTCAAATATTAAATTTAATGTTAAATATAAACARGCTGATACATGCAGCACTCCCCTATTTTTCCTTTAATAACGCATATTTTATACAAATTCTGATTGTTGGAATTTTTAATTAGCTATATTATATGCATATAAAGTAAACACATAATTTTTACCACTATTATACGGGCATATATCACGTGGTTACGAAATATTTCAAATAAGCACAATAGTGCACTACTGTTTTATCACTCTAAATTTTTAAACATAGATGCATACAAATCAAAGTTTGAACCTCTTATTATTTAACGACATCAYTTAGAGGTAAAATCATCTTAGTAGGTATACGAAAATATGGCCATTCAGCAATTATAAACATTCCAAAAGTTTGAATTTAAGAAAATATGCACTATACGGAATGATGTTGAAAAAACGCTCTGTATAGGTACTTTCAAACTCTTTCGGGCAGCCTGAAACTGCATGCAGAATAATAATATATTTATTAGAAGACAAGTCGATATGCGAAAGATTTCAAGTACGGTACATWAATATTACACGAGACAGATATTGTGAATTATTTCATATTAGGCGTAAGTGCTAGCACTAGGTTTAGCTGGTTTAGGTGTATTATACTATAGCAAATAATATAGTTGATCAAATAACTTATCCATCTCATTCTATCGAAACTCTTACCCTATGCACGGAATTATTTAAAATTAATTATGGGTACGCTCTTGTACGAGATTATATCTCATCTGCATATTATTTCAGTCAATCTATTTATCATTGCAGTCTACAGTACAGTGCAGATGATTGAAAAATAAACAAAATTAATGTCTATATTGGAAAAGCTCCATTAAATAAAAAATAATATAAAAACAATAAGCAGCATAAGCACTTACTATTTTATTATTCTATTTTTTTTTTTTTTTTTTTTTTTTTTTTTTTTTTTTGTCATGACATTACCGATAAATGTGCATTATTTCATATTTAGTGTTTCTCAATTTTTTTCACCCCATGTTATACAAATATACGTATATTTGTCAGTATTGGAGACACACTTCCGCGAGCGGCRAGCGGTTCTTTATTACAAAGCGGCCCGCCGACAAAGGCCTAGGATCGGAGAACGATATCCATTAAACATCTGGTGGTTTAAGTTTTTGAACCAGTGTGAAAATATCTTACGGTTTATACGTACATTTTATCGACACCGTACAATACGTATAGAACTATGATATTATAATATATAATTGAGTTCAGTTACTACTTACTAATCCATAGGAATAACGGGACCCGGGATAATCAATATCTAACACCCGCGTAATTTGCATTTATCATGATAATGTATAATTATATTTATGAACTATTATTTGTATACACTGTTGCACTACACTGGTCACTGCTGCATGTACACCGTACGAATGGTACAACTTACTTTTGTTGATAGTTTTGTAGAAAAATTGTAATACGCCTACATACTATGGATTTAGGTAGATGATAGGTGTGATATAAATAAATAAGCAAAACGAACAGTTGTTACAGTATAATAATAATGGTGTATTTGGTAGAATTTCGTTTTAGTTAAAATATTTCAAACTCTGTTAACAATATAATATTAATAGTATACCTGCAATAATAATAATATAATCATGATGAAGTATATATATGCGTGAATATATATATTACGAATTACCATAAATCAATTGACTTAGCTTAACTTACAATTTATTTAGCATGTTAATTGATAGGATTTCCAAAACGTTTGAATTGACCTCTTGAAAYTTAAATACCTGGGAAATGGGTAATAATAATTAAACTTGTACAGTTACTTATTCAATATAGTATGATATTATATTATATAATCTACAACTATCTCGCTCGATATATTTGAAATCTTTAAATTTACAAACTTGAAAAATCATTGAACATCGTTGGTCTACCACAGTTGTGTGTACATTATGCATATCTTGATTTTCTAATAATTTCTCTTTGGCAATTTGACGACCAAGATAAAGTTGAGACAAGATTTCRGTATACCTACGTGTGTTAAGGTTATATTTTGATTATTTTTTTGTCAGTAAATTTGAAATGTACCTAATTGTCATTGACAWTTAACATAAAATATGTTTTAAGCCTTACAGCAGATACCCAAACTTCAACTTATTTATATTTATATATTTTCGTAACGCGCCGTCAATTTGTATAACGAACATCTCAAGTTCCAATCATCTAAGTAGACATATATAAATGCTTTCTCGCAATAAAACTAAGTATTTTTTCCATGTATTTTTACTGGGCCTTTTTTTGTCATGACTTAACTGTATTCAATTTCAAGTACAAATTACATTCTAACCATCTGTCAGTAGGTATATATATACTATAAAGTATTTTAATTGTACCTACTACCTACGTTATAAAAAATCCTATCGGAATGAATAATTGTTTACATAAAAGATCTGCTCAAAAATACTTTTAAACAATTGGAGCTTGAATATAATTTTTATCTATTATAATAATATATACATATATTAGTATGTATTATATAGTATACCTATTATTATTGACTCATATTATAATATATATATATGTGTTATAAATGTTATAATATAACTATATAGTATATACATATCGAGCGGAAGATTTTAAGTGGTCTAGTACATTTGGAAGACTTTAAAATAAAAACAATAATGAATTGACTAATATTAATTATTAACATTGGTATTAAAACTAACTATTGTAAACTATTGTACGAACAAAATAAATAGACATTTAAAATATGTTTTCAACGGGTAAAATATAATTTGTATAATATGWGTATATTATATAATAATATAACTAAAATATAGTATATCCGAATATGATATAAATTCATTTGTATGCAGAATATTTACGTGCCCATATTATATATATATATAGTATGAGACTAAAATGGTTTGTAAAATTCAAATAGTTGGATCCATCTTGTCCCATAAAATATTTACTACCTTTTTTGACTGTATACTGCGATAAGTGATAACTCATTGGAAATATATAAGAGAATATCACTTATTTATAGCGCACATTGTCGTGAAAGATACGGATCTGTGGTAAATATTGCATAAAAATAGAAATAGGATACGTGTATCAATTACACAATGTTCCTGATAGATGTTTGTCAAAATATAGTTTGGGTTTTTTTTTAAATACTTTGAAAATAAATAATTGTTTTCAATGGTAATTTGAAGCTCATTAGTTTTTGGATAAATCGAGTAATGTACTTAAAATAGTTTTCGTTTGAATAAAAAAGAACAAGAACAAACTCACTATTGTCACGTTCGATTATAAATTCCGGATATTCTGAAAAATACAAATATTATTGTTTCAAACTTTAAATTTGGGTACCTACTCGGAAAAAAATCAAATTAATCAAGATATTTCATAGTATAATTAATAATATTATAGTTACGTATCCACGACATGGATCATATACACTAATTATAGACAGTGCTGTAAGTTAAAATGTATCATTCAAAATATTGTCAGTTTTAAGGAGTAGTAATTTTGATGTCATACTATCATGGTATTCTTTCTAGATGCCCAATACTATTCCRTTTGATAAGAATGTTCAACCAAAGACCATTTTTAATATTAATGATGAAGAACRGTTGGGAGGAGAGGAGGGMATCGTAAAATAAATAATACATATTTCAATACTATTTTTCGGGGGCCTTATCCACGAATTCAGTCAGTGGCCGCGTTTGATATCGTGCACGTTCTGCAGAATCACGCATGTATGGTCCCAGTCCCATGTAATATTATTATGTCCTTTTATATCCATTCCACACAATAAATTGTTTTGGTTTATATATAAATATATATATATATATATTATATACGAATATACCACATTGTTAGAGAAACAAAAATTTAAATAATTAGGTAATAATTATTATAGTATAGTATTAAAATTAAAAATAAATAAATAAAATAATGTTATTGACATTTTGATTTTGGATCTATAGACGAATGTTTTATAGAATGATGGGTGATTAGTAATCTCTTATGGGACGGGTGCAGTTGGTATGACACCATTTCCCGGAATATTGTCTTTACTAGTTATAACAGCATTGGGAGACGCCGGCGTGTTGTCATCCAAGAACAGCGGATTTTTCACTTCCATTTCTCCAGCCTAGAACACGAACGCGCACATTCATTTTCATTATGTTTAATATTTTGCGTTGACCTTGACACACAAAAATATCAAGTTCATTATGAGTTATATTATGATGTAAATATTCATTTGTTTAACTGTTTTTCTAAAAAATTATATTACAAATAACTTACAGGTGCTAATCCCGGACATTCGTAAACTGTGTAATCGCCTTCCTCGTTGTCATCGTCGCTGTCYGGATCGCTAACTGAACCGCATCGACTTTCCTTGACCGAACTGTTCCTGCGAAGCAAACAATAATTATATTTGTATTATAATATTGTTTCATGCGTAGTTACACGACGTAATAAGGAGACTGCATTATATCACAGCAACAAAGACTAATTGTTGTTTTACCCTTGCAGGCATTTTATTTTGATAGTAAAAATCCTAATTTTTGTGTCTTATTTATTTTCTACAATATAAGTGTTAGAGCACTTGGAATCAATAACAGAATGAGAATTAGTTTCAAAAATTTATAATTATATGTATATATTATATATAAATTTACTGATTCATTCGTTTTTAATGTATTTGGTTGATTTTACACTGGTACAAACGAAATCTAAGGTTTCTATTGATTTAATTTTCCATAGAGTATTCGTGTAAATATATAACATATAATTTATCATTATTATATAAATGTATATATAGACATGCCGTAGACATTGTGTAATACTGTAATGTAATATCAAAGGGACCGCTGTTGGAGAGTTTGTTTGCATTAATCGAAACGGTTGTACAAAACAATCAAATAAACATGGGAAACTCTGGTAGGATTTTTCGCGATTAACCAATAATGCACTAGCTGTAGTATAAATCATAATTGTATAATATCATAATATTATAATATTATACTCTATGACGTATTAACTATGTGTTAAATATAAAAATTTGTAATTTAAATGTCTTGTTAATAATRCATAATTAAAATTCAAGCACATTGAAAATCAAAATACGATAATATTATTTGCCTCGAAGTTTTGTGTATCTGCAGTAAAGTTAAGAACTTTATCCCTGCCTCGAAAGTATATATTTTACTCACGTTTCCATAGCGATGATCTGTTGTTTCTGGTGTTGATAATGATACATTTGGGCGGACTGTGCCAAGCGGCGGTCGCCAGTGGGTGACATATCTTTGTTGGGTCCAGTGATACCGTACGCTGGGTACTCTATATCCGCCGTCGCCTTGTTATTTTTTTGCATTCTGAAAATGTGTATTAAGAACAATGTGTTAAATTACAATCGTGTGAGGTCACATCTTTGGCATAGTTAGCTTTACTGACCTATAGCATGCTATGGATGATATGAGCAAGACGACCAGAACAGCTAGACCGACGCCAGCGGCTTTAGCTGGAAAACAGCAATCGAACAAATTATTATTATTTGTTGAAAAATTGTATACACTTTATACGCAGTTTTAAATGATATTATGACGACAGTAATTATGTTATTGAAAAACAAAGAGGTAACAAACAAAGCCCCTCATCCTCGCAAAGAGCACCAAATTTCTTTCAAAGAGCTCAGTGGGATATAAAATGATAACTGTAGTATACATAATTTATATTTAATCACATAATATGCTGACCARAATTTTTTTTATTACATACTAGAAAAAATACAAATATAAAAACTAATCTACTAAATCCTTATACGCGCGAGTCATAATATGCTCATCTCGGTACTTATTATACAAAAGCATAAAGAAAACAAAAATGCAATGGAATTTATGTAATATATTCATATTTATAATACATTTTAATTTATTAAACTACAAGAGTTTATAGATTTTAAGATTATGAATTCGTTTATAAATGCTATATTGAAAATACATTATATTATGCTAATTTAATAGACGATTTTAAAATGTGTTTGTGTTTCATTCAATTTTGAATATTGACATTTGTTTATTTTTACCTAATAATCCGAAAACCGCATTTTTCCACCTAAACATAATATTTAATATTAAATATAGATTTATAATGCAATATAGAAAGGATTCAGATATAATGACCCGTCCAATGAAGTAATCTGTCAAACTTTATCGTTGTTGATCGGCTTCAATAAATATATGCATGGCGCATAATATAGGCGGTATAATACCTGGGGTACATATAATATTTCATACCGGAGCGCATCATTTTACCACTCAAACACATAATTTATGAAACGCATAAGTATCAAAAACGTATTGAAAAACTAAAAACCCATTAAAAGAGCTTTAAAAAACACTTTTCGCGATGAGTCACATCAAATTGGTTAAGATTAATAATGTTTTATCTAGCTGTTCAACATTTTTTTTATGAAAGTTAATTCATAAATATTTTTGACCCCTTGTAATATTTAATATTTATCGTTTAGTGATTACACTTATTAAATTGAATTACCATGAATTTATTTTACGAATTTGCGAATTTCAATGCAAACGTTTACCTTTTTTTTTATATATTTCAACCATTAATCATTAAAATATACCTATGGTTTGTATTTTTAAATATTTTCCAAACGTACTTATCAATCACGAAAATATCCAACAGGTATAGGTAAAATATATGATTGGTTTAACACCAACCACAATTTTATCCTAAATTATAAAATCATTTAAAAAATATATTTAGAATGTACCTAACCTACTTATTTAGGTGTTAATATACTTTGTGTGAACTTTTCTACCGATACATTAACAATTTCAAATGAATTTAATAAAGCTTTTGTTCATATATGTGTATAGTAATGTATTAATGCCTGTTCAAAAACGTTAAATTGTTTATTACACATTTCTGAAACTGTGTCAGGAGTTGAACTAATCCCTAACTTCATATAAAGGAACATTTGATTGCATTTTGTGTGGAAAAGGAGGTTAACATTATCCAAACTAATGTGGATAAAAACCCGATTTCATACTGTTAACAGTGTTAACATAACTCACTAATGTAGGTACATACATTTCTATTTGGAGAGGAGGGAGAGGCGCTATGTCAC